GCCCACGCGCATGTTCACGTTCACCCCCGTCACCTCACGCACCAGCCTGGGGACAGCACCAGCAACACGTCACCCCTGGGCGCCCCGCGGCACCCCATGGCATCCACAGGACCCCCAGGCACCACCATCACCCTCGGGCACCCCATGGCATAACAGGAGCCCCAAGCACTGCATCATCACCCTCGGGCACCCCATGGCATAACAGGAGCCCCAGGCACTGCATCATCTCCAGGCACCCCAATGGCACTGCATCCCAAACCAGCAACCAGTAGGGATGGGCCAACACCAGGAATGGGCACAGCCCTCCCTGGCTGCAGTGGCATCAGGGACATACCAACCCCAGGGATGGGCACAAATCCCCCAGGGTCGTGGTGGCACTAGGGATGTGCCAACATCAGGAATGGGCACAGCCCTCCCAAGCTGCAGTGGCATCAAGGACATACCAAACCCAGGGATGGGCACAACTCCCCAGGGTTGTGATGGCACCAAGGACATACCAATCCCAGGGATGGGCACAGCCCCTCAGGGTTGTGGTGACACTGAGGACACACCAGCACCAGGGATGGGCACAACTCCCCATGGCTGTGGTGACACCAAGGACACACCAGCACCAGGGTCAGACACAGCCCCCGGTGCTGTGGTGGCACCAGGGACACGAGGCACAGCCCCCCATGCCCTGCCCCACTCACGAGATGGCCTCGATCATGTCGACGCCCATCTCCACGCAGCAGTGCGCGTGGTCCCCGCGCGCCTCGGGCAGCCCCGACACGCAGTAGTAGCAGTCCCCCAGGATCTTGATGCGCAGGCAGTGGTTCTCCTGGGGGAGCACAGGCAGGTCAGGGGGGCTCTGGGACCCTCCCGGCCCCCTCACTCCCCGCCGCCAGCTTGTCAAAGCGGGCGAAGAGCTCGTTGAGCGTCATGACCAGCTCCTGGGCCGTGCACTGCGAGGCCAGGCTGGTGAAGCCCTCGATGTCCGCAAAGAGAATGCTGTGGGAGGAGGAGCATGGTCTGGGCAGAGCCCTCACACCACCCTGGGCCCCCTCCTGTGGTGACA